TTTTTTTTTTTACCTCCGTTTTTTTTTTTGGCGGTAACCATAATGTTGGTCGAGTAGAATATGTTGTGCGGGGTCGAGAACCTTCACTCAGCGCAAGGGGAATGATCGCACCACGTTGTGTTAAAATGGTCAAGCACCCTCGAGGCAGTTACACAGTGCTTACAACTGTCTGAGGAAGTGAAAGTACCAGAAAATATATTAAGTCATACGCAGCTGTCGTCCGCATGCAAGAAAGTAAGCACAAGATGCCGAAAACCCTTAGCAGGATGCAGCGCACCCTTCATGCGACTCGCCGAATACCTCACGGCGCTTCGCGCTTGGTGATGTGAGAGCCTGGTCCGGTGAGAACCCGGCGTGCTCCGTCCCGGCTTTGTAGGGATGCGAGGTCAATGGTCTAACGACTACGGCATGCACGACTATGAGTACACCCCCCCTGTACCCGTTTTTATTGCGGTAACCATGAATGGTGGTCGAGTAGATGATGTTGTCCGGGGTCGAGAATCCTCACTCCGTGAGAGGGGAATGATCGCACCACGTTGTGTTAAAATTGGTCAAGCACCCTCGAGGCAGTTATAGAATGCTTACAACTGTCTCTGGAAGTGAAAGCACCAGAAAACATGTTAGGTAATACGCAGCTGTCATCCGTACGGTAGGAAGTAAGCATAAGATGCCGAACATCCGTAGCAGGATGCAGCGCACCCTACATGCGACTCGCCGAATACCTCACAGCGCTTCACGCTTGGCGATGTGAGAGCCTGGTCTGGTGAGAACCCGGCGTGCTCCATCTCGGCTTTGTAGGGATGCGAGGTCAATGGTCTAAAGACTACGGCATGCACGACTATGAGCACCCCCTCCCCCCCGTTACTGCACCATTGCACCAAACCCCCACGAGCGATGACGTGCCTTTGTTTTCTCGGGTGGCCCGCTTGTGTTGTCTTGTGTTGTGATGTGTTGCTTGTTTGTCGCTACGGTGGTGGTTCTGGCGTGTGTCTTTTTCTGTGTCTCTCTTTTTTTCTCCCTCTGCTTTCTTCTTTTTCTGCTTTTTCTTTCACTTCTCCAGTCTACGGTTACCTCGCATAGCGTGTATAGACGAGCGGAGGGTTCTAGACTATCTGTCGTTGATGTTTATTGACTTGCCGACCCTTGCGGTCCATTCGATTTTCGTAACCTTATTGGGTAAGTTAGCCTGTGACCACGGGAATCGACCGCGTCAAGTGTTAGACTAGTACGAACAGAACAAGGTACTGGGTGAAGAGAACGGAACGGTTGCTATCGTGGGTACTGACCAGGAGGGAGCATGGCGACCGGTACCACCCCTTCCTAGAGAAATATCAGCAACTGTTGTACGCTAGAAAGTAGGGATGGTGCCGACCGTCCAGGAGATGACGAGAACAAGCCAAGCTCATGATCAGGCGACCGCGAAATGCTCGAGGCTCAAGGCAAAAGGAACTCACCTGTTCCCTCAATGCTGGTTCCAATCCTGATAGACCCAAGATGCCTATCATCTTCATCAGTTCCGATCCGGTCCACTGGTGGCAATGCACACAGTTGAAGGGCGTTGGAGAAGGGGTCAATGTCTTTGATATTTTGGTACAAATTAGTGCAGAGGCTGCTCGTACCGTTCAACGGTAGGCCCAGTGATTCAGTTGGGAACATGGCAAGGTCATCATCAATTATTCAAACGATGGACGATGAAAACCAACAAACGTCATAACCTTGTGTATCCAACCGAAAAGAAGCATAGCTGCTCGTAGGCCTTTCCCGGCCGCGGAGGCTTCCAATATAGCACAGGCCCGGAGATGAGAAACGTCAAAATCGCGTCCAGCCTCAATTTCGATTTTCGCCCAAAGGACCAGCTGAAGTCGGCCAATTTCTTGATGCGGATTTCTAAATTCCTTTGGGCTGTCGCAACATCCTGCTGCTCTTATTTTTCGATTTCTTTTTTCGAGCGAAGAAAACACCAAGACACGAAACCTTCATGCAGCATCATATCGACAGTTCGGTGTGGCGAACATTGATTGGGGTTGCCGCCCTCCTGAACTTCCTGACTCCCGCGATTTGTGGCAGTGCAGCAGTACAGCTCAGCGGTGGGTGGCGCATCCCGCGGCGGCGCTGGGGCGCGAGTGGCACCACGCAAATAACCACTTCCCCCCCCCTACGCACAACCAAACGTGTGTTGGGGCCTCCCCACGAGCTGGACATGGTGGAGTGAGAGCAGGAGATACCGACACCCTAATGTAGGTACCAAAAGATTGTTGTTGAACGACACGCTGCGTCGAGAGGCCATTATATTTCGCCCAAAAATGTGTATGCGTCGTGGTGGTGCTTCAACTGCTGGAAGACTTCAGAGCTGTGTTGCGAGAACGTTGCGCAGATGAGTATTTAACTGCACTCGTGTATGCACGTACAGAGATATTGGTTGGGCTCACTGTTTAGCAGGAATTTTTCATCCCTGTCATCAGACAGAGCGCTTCGTTTTCGAAAGAAGCTGCGGGCCGCGTTCATCAATCGTGGCCACGTGATTCGTGAAGTGCGCTCGCCGGCGCTAAATGTTAGAAAGGCTTAGTCTACCCATTAGACTACTTAGTCAGCGCTGACTAGTCTAATTGTGTGACTTTACCTTACAAAACATAGACTATGCTCAGAGCTCATTTGGACGCGGCAAGATCACTTGTTGGGTTTGTGAGAGAGCAGGGATATACCGGGAACGGACCCCTCGCCAGACGCTGCCAGACCTACTTAATGGTGCTTGGGAAAGTGACCAGTCGGGTTTCGAATGCGTGTGTGTATGAATCCAAATGTTAGAACCATTAGTCCAAGTTAGCCGCTGACTAGTCCAACGGTGTAACTTTATCTAACAAAAGATACACGCACGGGTTCGAATCCCGGCTGGTCGCTTTCACAAGCACCATTAGTTCTTTTCCTGCAGCGCCTGGCGAGGGGTCCGTCCCCGGAGATCCCTACTTCAAAATCCCAGTGGCCAGCCGGGCGGCTACGAGCCGAGAGCATATCTTTTGTTAGAAAGGCTTATCCATTAGTCTAGACTACTAAGTCAGCGCTGACTAGTCTAATGGTGTAACTTTACCTTAAACTAAACCGTAATTACTCACCTTGGACACATCCGAGGAAGACGGTGGGTATTGGCGCGAAAGCTCCTCGAATTTTTCAGCATAACCGTTCTTCACAAGCGCTGGATGGCCTGCGTACAACCAAGCTATTCCCATCTCTCAACTGCACTGCTCTGCACTGCGCCGCTGCTGCTGTCAACCTTTCTGAAGATCACCTAAAAAAGTAGTCAAGAGTACCAGTTTATAATCTCGAGATCTCGGTTGGGTAGAGAGAGGGTGGCGGTTTCGGTAGCGTATCATGTTGTCGACAAAGGGAAAATATTTACCGGTTGGATCTGGTGATCTGGTCCGCATCTTTGCATCTGGAGATGATCTGGGGCGGTCGAGAGCAGCAGCAAGCAGTACAGCTACTGCATGCTTCCGTCGCTAGAGAAATGAGAAAACAAGCAAAAATAAGAAAACGAGCAACAGATACGGAGTTTCTGTTGTATTTCTACATGTTGCACACCCTTTCCTGCACATGTACCGCCGTCACACGCACAGACAAGCGGCAAGGGAAGAGAGAGGACGACAAGCGGATGGCTACATCACGTATGTTCCGTTTCGCAAGCGGTCCAATTGGCGTGCTACCGACGGCAAGTTGACGTTTCTCATGATTCGTCTTGTCAGACGCTTCTTTGGCCATTTTTTTTTTATTAGCTTCACGACAACGCCTGCATTGAAACCCTTCTCGTACCGCCTCGTGCCCTCGTGTGCTCACCTTCCGGACACCCACAGCTGCCCGTTGTGAACACTTCGTGTGGAGTGCCGCGCCCGCCAACTCTCACTCTAGCGCTTGCAGCCCGCTATCCCTTACTCCACAACCTCGTCGAATATGGCGCCCCGGAGAAATGCGACAACGGCTGCGGCCGTCCTGGCGGGGTGTGCAGGATGTTCGGCATGGGTAGCGCCTGCGGCGCGAGGATTCACAGGGCAGCGCGTGGTTCCGGCAGCGGCGACGTCTTCGTCCCCGTCAGGTACGTTGAGTGCGCCTTGCAGTGATCCACGGGACGTTGATGATGGTGTGTTGAGCGTGCAGGTTGGCGGTGCACATTGTACGCTCCTTTCATGCGCGCGGCGGGAGAAAGCATGACCACAGAGATGGAAGAACTTCCCAACTGCGGCGGTGCTGCCATTTTTGCCCTCCCTGAGGCTTACTAGCCTGCCTGGATCGGTAGAGGCACGATAAGAACCCCATTGCAGGTCTTCATGGTCCTGCCACATAAGGTCATGCGTGCAAACCCGGTAGCGTCTTCTAGCAGCCGCGGAGCGGGCTTTTGATCTGCAGGAGCAGCTTTGATGTGGGGTTCCCGTTTGGCAGTTTGGCAGCCTGCAGGGCTAGCTGAACGCGTTCGTTGAAGCTTACAGCAGTCGCGTTGTGTGTGTTGAGATAGATCGCGCATGCTTCGCGGGTTGGTCACGCTGTTCCTGGCCTCCTTCGTCGAGGGCGTGACCAACATTGATGCCTTGGTTGAGAGTTCCTCACACACTCGGGCATGTCTTGGCAACTTTCATACAAAAAAAAAGCACGCACGTTGAAGTCCTCCATTCCGCACGCCTCCTGGCTGACACAACGATGCCTATCGTGCCCGTCTTGCAACCCAGAGTTGGTTGTGCTGTTGAACTCCATGTCGTCCTGTCAATGCATGTTCTCTCCTCGGACGGGTCTGTGTAACTACTCCACGAAGAACCACATCGGCAGCAGGATTGATTTTCGCACTAGTTGATTCAAGTGTCGACGCGTGTCCGGTGGGAAAGGCGGCGCGTTGATTTCGTTACCCAATCCATTCGTGCCATTTTACTTTTGGGCGGTCCTGACGGTATGCTGGACCTGGGATGTTTTTCAGATAAAAATATGAGATACTTTCTTTCGTCATGCCCCCAATTTGCAAGTATTCGCCGAGGTTGATCGATTGCGCTGATAAGTTCCATCCTTTGTTTTTCCAGCAGAGTTGATCACAAAACGAATATTGTTCTATTCACCAAATACCCCGCTTGTCGTAGGTTGCTCACTAAAACGATATACCTCAGTTCAACTTCATTCTTTGTTGTGTTAAAACAGGAGAGCGGAAGCGCTTCCAACGAACCCATGTCTCGCGGCATATGCGCAAGCTCCGTCAGTACCGAACTCGGCATCATCCCTACTATACAAATATAACTCAAGTGATGGTTTTCGCCGTCAAACCAACCTCAGATTTGGACGGCCAACCGCCGAATAGTGTCACGATGTCCTTGCGGAAGGTCTGTTACTCTACACAGACAGCTTCCAAGACGTCTCCGCAGAGTACAGTACCGCAGCTCAACAGTGTGCACGTGGCAACGTATTCCCGTGATGTATATACGCGGTGCCTTGCACGACGACATGCGCGGTTGATGATATTTCTCGATGAAGGCAGCAGACGTATAACCAAAGTGCACCAACAAGCTTCACCTTCTGGCTAGCTTGACCTCAGCATATCGCTCCTCTAGTCTTGCCGAGAATGGCATGCGTAAAGTCTCTTTGGACGCGGCTGTTACAAGGGGTCTGAACGGTTCGCGTAACGACGAGATTGAAAGAATTTCTCTCAGTAGCGTCTACCCCAAACTCATGTCCTTCCGAAGAATGAAGCTGGAAACCTGACGATGGTCCCAACATGATACAGGGATGGAAATGAAGTACAAGGTGGCCGTGGTGGGGGGAGGACCTTCGGGTTCTTGCGCCGCCGAGATCCTCGCGGATTGCGACGATGTTGACGTGACTTTGTTCGAGCGCAAGATGGACAACGCTAAGCCGTGCGGAGGAGCCATCCCACTGTGCATGATTGACGAGTTCGACCTGCCCACCAGCATCATCGACCGCAAGGTTGGTCGCAAATGTCGACACACAGACGTTGCGCAAGGTTGTAGCAACACCACGCCGCACTTCAAGCAAGGGCATGTGTGCTTAAGTGCGGGACAAATCTCAAACGGGATCACTTCAATGATGGTAAAATGTTGGAATAAAGCTGCCGGCAATTCTTGCACAACTCACGAACCGTTGAGGTGTTTTCCGTCGAAGTTACCCGACCACGTACGTTAGTCTGGATTTCAATCTCAATAGGTACAGATCCCTAGAAGGTAGGTGAGCGTCACAACGGCCGTAGCCTCGCGCTCGTCTTCGAATCTGAGCTCGTTTCCCCCGTTTCGCTCTTTTGCTGAACGCCCAGGTACGAAAGATGAAGATGATCTCCCCAACCAACAGAGAGGTGGACATCGGCCAGACGCTTGGAGACGACGAGTACATCGGTATGGTGCGACGGGAGGTTATGGACGGCTTTATGCGCGACAGGGCGATAGAGAAGGTAATCAGAAACTTGTAGGTGCACATGAGTGAGACTGTTCCACACTTGTGACCGAACGGGGGCATCCATGAAATTGCTATGGGCATTGGCTCCCGTTAGCTTACCCCAACTACATTCAGACGAGAATCGCGAACAACGGAAATTCCCGTCTGGCGGCGAATTGTTGCTTTCTCGTAATTCAGGGAGCTCACGCGATCAACGGTCTGGTGAACGACATCGACGTCCCCGCAGACAAGGACAGCGGGAAGTACAAGATCCACTTCGCGCGGTACGAGAAGGGATCCAGAAAGGGTGTGCAGGACAGCGAGGAGTTCGACCTCATCATCGGCTCCGACGGCGCCAACTCCCGAGTCGCGAAGGTGAGTCGAAGCCCGACCAGGCCAAGGGTATTGTTGTTGAATGATCATTGATGCTCTACTCGTCCCGGGCGCAGTTTCAACATGCACGCGAACAGCCTCACGCGAGCTGTACATGGTCATTTTCCCCGATCTTCTTAGTTCCCTTTTGCTGACTGCCGTTATGCATATTCAACTTGTCGTACCCGCAGTTCGGCGTGATGCGAACTGCCGCCCCGCATTAACTGTGTTTTGTTCTCGGCTCACAATTATGCTTGGTCTTCCTCTGCTATCATGGTCGGACAGGCCATGGACGCTGGAGCGTACAACTACGCCATCGCTTTCCAGGAGCGCATCAAGATTTCGGACGAAAAGATGGAATTCTACGAGGTATGATAACTCAAGTCTGCCTGCCCTTAATTAACTCAATTGCACATGCCGCCTGATTATATTAAAACCCAGATGACGGGAGACAAATAGCAGCGCGCGCGCCGAATGTGGAGACATTGACCAAGTTCTGTTCAACACCGATTGAAGATTCACCCTTTGTGCAGAGACTTGAAAAGTAAAATCAATATCCAGTGGTCAGATGCTCACATCAAGAGTGCCCACTGCCATGAGGCAACATTTACTTCGCCAACCTTTAAAAGCGCCTTCACTCCGTGCTGAAATTGTGTCGCCTCGCAGGAAATGGCGGAGATGTACGTGGGAGACGACGTCTCCCCCGATTTCTACGGGTGGGTGTTCCCCAAGTACGACCACGTCGGTGTGGGCACCGGTACCGTCGTCAACCGGCCAAAGATCAAGGATTACCAGGTTCGGACGACGTCAATTGAAAAAGCGCGCTTGCTTCACGAGAACTCGGACCAATTTGGTCCTTGCCTTGATGTGCTGGACCAGTATTATCCCTTCCGTCTTTTAACAAGTCATTGTTGGAGTTTATCGCGGTTTGTTTCCCTGGTGTGTTTTGACGAACGCGCGCGTTACTACCCGACTTCCGCGCGCTCACCACCATCCCCACGGCTCGTCACGGCACTTGCTAACCGTGCAGGACGCCATCCGCAAGCGCGCTGGCGAGAAGATCGAGGGGGGTAAGATCATCAAGATCGAGGCGCACCCAATCCCCGAGAACTACCGCCCGAGGCGCGTGGTTGGCCGCATGGCGCTCGTCGGTGACGCCGCCGGGTACGTGACCAAGTGCTCCGGGGAGGGAATCTACTTCGCCGCAAAGTCTGGCCGCATGGCTGCCGAGGCGGTCGTGCAGTGCATCAAGCAGACCGGCAAGCTCCCGACGGAAGCGCAGCTGAAGCAGACCTACCTCAAGGACTACGACAAGCTCTATAAGCCGACCTACCTGGTCCTCGACATCCTCCAGAAGGTGAGATACTGGATGCCACACAAACCATCATGTAGACATTGTGTTCACTCCGAAATTGGAAGGGTTTTTGCGCTGGTCGAAACTTTTACTAGTTGCCGTGTGCGACTCTGGGTCCGTCCTCGTTCAGATACTGGATGCACCGCAAGTTGGCGAGATCTGCGACTTCTTGTCGCCGTGTGTTGTTGCAACCAACAACACCGCACCGCTGTCTGCTTGTCACGCGTGCCCATGTGTCTCACCCGGAACTTGATTGTTTATTCTTCAAAACCGTCAGGTCTTTTACTCGAACAACGCGGCAAGGGAAGCGTTCGTGGAGTTGTGCGAGTCTGAGTACGTCCAAAAGGTTACCTTCGACTCCTACCTCTATAAGAAGGTGTGTGCGGAACGTTGGATCAAGAAATGATCGAAGTTGTGTGTCCTGTACGTTGAGCCCCTCTCGGTTTCGGAACCTAAGTGTTGGCTCAGGTGCGCAATTGCAGTTCGTGAGTTGCTCGTGTTCAATCGAGTATGCAAGTATTGTCCTGCTCTCGGTCTGGTACACCTGGGCTGAGAAGTCAGTGATCCTTCTTCCTGTTGTAGAACAAGCAATTAACTGTGTAATGCGTATCTTGTTACGTTTCTCGCTCGCTTCGTCTTGATATCTGCTTACGAAACGACCAGGTCCAGGGCAACAACCCCGTCGAAGACCTCAAGCTTCTGTTCGGCACCTTCGGCTCCCTCATGCGCGGTCAGGCACTCGCACCCCCGGACGCGTCCTTCTCCAACCCCGTAGAGTCGCTCAAGCGCCTGTAAAAGCCTTGTTATCGTTCGGTACAGATGCTGGAAAGGTTTGCCGTCTGTTGTCTAAGGCCTGGACACGCCCGAGGCAAAGGACCATGGACCCTAAAGATGTGTCGATTAAACAGGTCATGTGAGGCTAGTTGTTGATTCTTTCCGTCGGGTGGGGGCTGGTCTTGTGTACGAAGAGCCCATCACGTTACGCAACAGCGCGGGAGAAAGGGTTGCGCACGAGCTCAAATTATTTCGGCGGTCACGGGACGATTTTGTCCTCCACTTTGACCCGTTGCTGTCGTCCAGGCTATTACATGGAACCTCCTGTGGTGACATTTTAAGGTGTTGTGCAGTGCGGGGCGTTCGCTGCAAAGCCTCGTTGGGTTGTGTTCGTGTACGCCCCAATGTTGGGGGATTTCTACATGATGCTGCAACGACTTTTACTTAGATTGACGACTGAGGTAAATGGTTTGTGTGATTTTTTTTTTTTGTAGTTGCGTCCGGGGGGAGGTAGTCATAGCCAGCCACCTCTGGCCGATCTGTGAGTACTGTTTTTGTTGTATCTTGTTTGTTTTCTTAATTTCAACGAACATGGAGTTATTTCGGTTCTTGCACTGCTTCGCGGCAACACCGCTACACACGAAACAATTGGCGAAAAAAACGAGGGCGACGCATGCCGACTCTTCGCCAACCGCGCAGACTCGCTCGTGAGAATCACCGCGCACTTTCATCAAGCGTCAAAAGCCCTTAACTCACTTTCTGAACGTGAACCCGCCTAAGGGTCGTGTTTTCTGTTGTTGACTACACTCCGAGGGAACACAGATCTAAGAGGATATCGCCTTCTATCTAATGTAGAGTAGGTCGTTCTCCTCGTCGAACAGGTGACCAAAACCCAAACATTATGGGGCAGGTCGGGTTGTGATTAGTCTCTCACAAGAGTGAACGTCAACCCAAAAATCCATATGCTGTGGAAATGAGTGACTCGTGAGGTCCTATAGAAGTTTGCTTTCGACCGCGGAAGGTGTTAACATTAGTTGGATGGGTGGCACACGACGATCGACACGGTTGGATACTTTAGTTGAATCAAACAGAAACACGTATAACTTAACCCTCTCGCGATGATGAATAAAAATACGGGTAGCACGACAGGAGGATGCATCATCGCATCTGGCACAACGAACCATGTTTATTAAGAAAAAAATGCAATACCCTCTGTGCGATTCCGCTGACCAGGCAATCCTTTTACACCGAAATGCGTGCCGACTGACGCCATTAGATGAGGGAAAAAGCACACACACGCACAATCTTTGGGAGACCGACAGCACTTTGTACGGCAAGACAGAAAGAACGACAAAGGCACCTTCGGCTCATAAACCGTGGGCATAAATTGGGTTGGGTCTGTCTACGCCTACTTGCCTACTATAAACGGGCCACACTTTTCGCAAAAAAATAACTATTATTTAGGTTTGGATGCCGTGCTTAGTGGTGAGAAGAATACTCCTACCCCCGACAAGTCTTCCACAATGCCCCGCCCTCTTACTCGTGGGTGCTCCACATCGTTGATAGGGCTTGGCACAGCTTTTACAGCTTGGAATTCGAGAGCGACTGGCAACTCCGAGAAGGATTTCGACGAAACTTCAATCCCCCTCACCATCAACTGTATCTCCGTCCTCCGCCCTCACTCCTGGACTTTTTGCACGAGCGCAATGTTCGTCCTGGTCAAAGACAACAGTCACGTCACACACACACTTCCTGTATAACCAATGGTGGCAGAACTGCTCACCTCTAGTCCAGGTTTGGACGACTTCCTACAGCTAGCTACTACTGGCGATCGAGTGGTGGCTGGGCCGTAGGTACGGCGTTCTGGCAGTCGCAGCGGGAGGGGGGGGGGTCGGTTTCTTCGGAACCGTGAACTCGTGCGTCTCTAGGGCGCGCAGTTCTCTCCTTTCGCGATCGCCGATAGGACGGATGGCCCCTGAAATTTCGCCCACCTGACCCGGAACATGACGGCGCTGCTTGTGCATCGGCACGGCGAGCCGCATTGACCGCTCGTCGTCCATCATTGCGTCCATGTGTGCGTCATCGGCCTCGTATGAGGGGGGCAGCTGCGTCAACGAACAAGAGTTCAGGGTCGGATGGGGATTGGTGGCGGAGAGAAGAGAACAGGCAGTCATCGCTGCTGCTACTATGGTGATGGAGGATGCAAACAGATGGCTTAGACAAATGGATGGGACAATTCTTGAGCTCTCTGATGCACCTACAGTGAGAAAATACAACTCAGCGTTCGCAGCCAAAAGGGGGACCTGAGCCTACACCAGATGCCGTGTCCCCACCTTGCGCTGGGGCGGCGGGTCAACCCTGTCTCCCTTCATCTCCTTCCATGTCAGCAGACGCTCCCCTTGATCCTGGTTGAAACTTTTGCACGCTCGCCGGCCGCTCCGAAGGACCGCAGCGGGCGACAAGCTTTCAGGGACATCCTCGGTGCCGTATGGCGGCGGTGCGCGAGCGATTTGCTTGGTGGGCCATCGGTGGTGGAACCATGGTGGGGCTGGCTCGTGAGTCACGCGGTGCCTCCATGTCACACTTTCTAGGTCTCCTTCTTTCTGCAGGAACCGTTCCTGATGGATGCAGGATTTCAGGACAAGAAGGAAGGGCAAAAAAACAAAGCGTTCACGAATTACTCTTGTTAGTCGGAGAGATGAGAGGAAGCTGGTGACGGCACTCACATACATCGGCAAGATTTAGGTTGGCTGCAACGAGTTCAAGTGCAGTACCATCCAAAGCAGCAAACAAACGGTGTGTGCGTTGTTTGTCACCATAGCCCTCACAACCAGAATCGCTCGCTCTTACCATGGCCCTTTCGTAGTTGCTCCAAAGAGCGGCCTTTTCGTTAGCTGTGAGTTCGTTCATCTGCATGACTGTGCCAAGGTCGTTCGTCAAGCGAATCCCCGGGGGAGGTCTTCGCTTATGCACCTTCGGTAGCTTGAAAGGTTGCCTTCCTTCTGCCTCAGACTGAAAAGACGTAGACGACGGCATGGGTGGGGGAGTTGGAGTTCATCGAGTAATATGTCGGAAAAACCACTCATGGTATACAGGCGGTGTTGCTGTTTTAGATTAATTAAAGGAACTCCCCACAGCGGGAAGGACAAAGTGCACAAACACTAAACGGCTTCTTTTTACATCCCCCATCCATACGTCGATCGTGCAACCCGACTGCCCCTCCATTGACGCATGACGATACCAAGCATACATCCGTCCACCGTCACGCTGTCCCCTATTTCTCACCAATACGTCCTTGACCAGACCATTATCCTTGAATAGACCCATGGCTCCCAGCCCTCTCCTCCGTTCTGGCAGATTCAGTTCGGGATCATTTGGTCTAGCGAGGACAACGAACGCTCCCCTGAGAGGATCGAACGTTGCCTGTCTCGCTACCAGTGAGGCCCCTTTCACAAACGTCGCCGGAGGCATGGGTTTCATCTGCTCCAGGAGAGGGTTGCGACCTGAAGAGGGGCAACGAAGTTGGGGGGTAGAGTGTTGAATCGATGATGTTGGTACGGCGTCTGTAGCAAGGGCGCCACAGCCCGTCCACTACGCACGCACACCCGTCAGCGCGCCAGCCCCACTTTTCCCAGCTCCCCATCCATCCTGGATTGTGGAGTAAATCTTACGGTAAGAACATCAAGTTGGAAAAGTTGAGGATGGATTTTGATCAAAACTAAGCAGGTTTTGTCATCAGGTTCAATGACGACACAGTAAATCCCTCCCTGGTTTGGAATGGCTCATCTCTTGAAATTTGAAAAGAAAAAAACATTGGACATATCCGAAGTTTGTGAGAGAGCCAGGATTACAATCTTAAGACGGAGACACGTTTTTAAGGCTGTACTGACTACAGTGGGAAACAGGGCCCCCTGAACCGTAACGTTTTTTATTCATGAAACCGTCGGAAAAATGCGTTATTGGGGAGGGGACAGGGGATGGGCGGAAAGACGTGGAAATGAAGAGATAGCTTCAGACACATGTTGCTAGCTCCAACGACGTGCTGTAGATCCCAAGCGACCGAAACAAAGCACCCACACCACAGACCAGTGCGAGCTATGGAGGGTGGCACTAGTCCTGATGCGAAGCGGGCCCGTACTTCCGCGGACGGAGGCCAAACGAACTAAAAAAATCAGCAGCAGCGGCGGCGGCGCTCTATCCTGCCGCAGGCTGCAGCAGCAGCGGAGGCGCCGCCGCCGCCGCGGCGGCACCCGGCTCCATGACCGCACGCTCACGCGGTGCTGCGCCGGAGGGCGAACCCGATCCAATCTTTGACGACCCGGTGGTGGGGGANGAAGCGGGCCCGTACTTCCGCGGACGGAGGCCAAACGAACTAAAAAAATCAGCAGCAGCGGCGGCGGCGCTCTATCCTGCCGCAGGCTGCAGCAGCAGCGGAGGCGCCGCCGCCGCCGCGGCGGCACCCGGCTCCATGACCGCACGCTCACGCGGTGCTGCGCCGGAGGGCGAACCCGAT